TTGTCAGAAGCTGTTCCAAGCATTTTTTTTTTTTCAGGTATGGACTCAGTTCCTACAACTCCTGAGTTAGGTACCACTATTACTATCCCTCACTGACAGATGTCAAGGAACACGCCTAAGGACAAGACACATGCCCAAGGGATGGAGCCAGAACTTGAACCTTGAACCCGGGAGTCTGACACCCCAGCCTGTGCACGTGAACATTAGTTTACCTGGTCTTCAAATGTCAAACTGCAACTGGAAAACATGCTATCCAGAGGAGGTACATGAGGTTCAAGCATGCCACACTTTTCTGCCTGGACCTTGGCACATTCTGTTCCCACTGCCTGTAACATCCTTTCTCCTACTTTTTGCCCAATCATCTCCTATTCATCCTCTGGATCCTACATATTAGGAAAATATCACTTTCTGAGGGACACCTGTCTGCTCTCCCCAGGTAGATTCACTTAGAAGCTTTTGCAGCACAATTTTCCTCTCCTCCAGGGCACTGTTCACATTGCATAGATAGATAGATAGATCAATCTATCGATAGATAGACATATATTCTTTGTATGCTTCCCAGCTTTTCTTTCCCCACTGCCCTTAGAACTGAATACTACAAAAGTAACAAACAACCACGTACTGCTCAGTGCCACGCACAGAGTCTGAACATAGTAGGTGCTCAATAAATATCTGGTGGATTGATTGACTCATTAGTTGACTTACCCCAAGGTAGCTCCCAGGTCTGTGCCAGCTGTAAAGCTTCATGGCTGGAGGTTTTCCCCATCTCTCCCTGCTGGCTTCTGGCCTCTTCACAATCCCTGCTCCTGACAGCCCCTAGGAGGGGCCAGGGTGTGCCAGGTCAGAGTTTGTTCAGCAATGCAGGCTCTGGGGTGGGGATGGGCACCCCCTGGTTTCCCAACCCTGGAATGGGGCAGAGACTGAGAGGAGGGACCCGGACATCCTGTCTTGATGGCCAAAGATGATCTTTCCAACCCCATAAATGCTGGAGCCACGGAGGCGGCTGTACCACCATCCCCGAGCGCTGTGGTATGGAGACCGGAGCCAGAGAGATCAATATCGTTCGGTTTTCCACTACAGCTCCTTTCTGCTGCCAACTCTCTCCAGAGGCCTGAACAGACGGTGCCGAGGAGGCGAGAGGCCCAAGAAAAGGAGAGGCCAGGCCTGTCCCATGTGGGTCCCCAGCACTAGGGCCATGCTCATGCTAGAGCTCTCAATCCTCATGCAACCTGGGAGAGGGGTGCCGTCCCATTTGGCAGAGGGGAAAAATGATTTCCCAAGGTGCCAGCCAAGCCCAGATCAAATGCAGTCGTGGCTGGTCCTGAGGCAGGCACTCTCAGCCCAGCCACACCTGCACCCTTGGGTCAGGTTCAGGGGAGGCTCTCCTACGCTGTCCCGCAACCCAGCCAAGGGTGGAGGGAGAAAAGGCTGCTGCAGCCCCAGGCCCCTGGCTCTATAACCTGCAGGGACAGTGTGCTTACCCCTCCCAAACCAACCCTTTCTGTTACCCACAACGCCCCCTCCTCAGACCACCCGGTGGCCCCCACTGGTGATGGTGTGGACCTAGGGAATGATGCTGTTCCAGCTCCCATGACACATAGAACATGAGCCAGCCAGCACCCCAAACTCCCAAGCCTCGTCTCCAAGCTGGGCTCTCCCGGGTCCTCCACGCTCAGCTGCTGGCCCTTCCTCGCCCTCCGTGTCTGGCGTGCATGGGGCCCAGGGGGTCTGCTGGGGGAGACACAAGAGTGCTCCTCCCCACCTTCACTCACGGCCCTTTGCTGACGAGCACCCCTGGGAACTCACTGTGGGTGAAACCCTGCCCTATGGTGACCTGATCCCCCAGGAATGAATCAGAGGAACAGCAGGATTGGGGTGAGAAGAAGGAGGGAATGAGACACCTACATGGACACACAACACAGCCCGAGGCTGGGGCTCACACACATGTGCATGTGTGCAGTGCTGTTAGAACAGCCATTTCCATTCCCCATTGTGGATTCCTTAGAAACAGCTAAGCACTAATTAGTCATTTTCACCAACTAATGAGGAAAATCCGGTTCTTCGAAGGAGGAAGGCAGGATTTGATTTCACTCCCCATGAAGAGAAATTTTGGAGCCTCCAGGGTTGACTTTTTCAGGCCCCACCTTCCTCCTCAGCTGATAGGTCCAGTGGCCCGAGATGCACCCACAACTCCCCCCTCCAGGGCGCAGGAGGAGGGACCGTGAGGTCCGCGAGGTCTGTTCCAGGCTGGAGATCTGTTAAACCACTGGTGGGCTCTGCTCCCGAGGCGAGAAGACAGCAGCTGACCCACCTCCAGAGGGAGGGCCTGGGGAAGGGCCGGCCCAGGACACTTCTTGCTGCTCAGCATTTCCTCTTGGCCTCCCATCCCACCTCCACCAAACCTGGTGCATGTGCACCCCTGCATATGCCTACCTCAGGCCGGACCCCAGCTTTGAAACTTCTCATCCGCACTTGAGAACCTGTGAGAGAATCCTGGCCTTGGCCCCAACCCCTCCCTTCTGCTCCTCCTGCCTTCACCACCCATGTTCTTGCTTCTTCTGAGGTTGGACTCTGCTCACCACGCACATACCCAATAGAACCAGAGACCCAGGCTGCAAGGTGGGCACCCAACCCCAGGCCCAGTAGCTGGTCTTCAGGGGCAAACGACGCCAGGGCTGCACCTAAGCCTACCAGCAGGAGCCACGCTAAGCAGCCCCGGGCTCTGCTCCCAGCTGGGATATATGGATATGTGCCCCCTGCTCCCACTCCAGTGAGCGGAGCAGGTTCTTGGGCGGGGGTGAGGGGGGTGGTGGCAGGAAAGTGTTGCTGACACATAGGTTCTGACCTGCCGGTTTGGGTGGGTCAGAGGTTCTGCCTTTCTAGGACGCTCTCAGTGACCCGCCTGCTAACGGTGCGTGGAATGCACTGTGCAGACAGGAAAAGATCCCTTGGGTCTAGGGTGGAATAAGATGTGTCTCGACTTTTCAGCCCCCCTAGTCCAAAGCTTCACAGTGCAGCCCCAGTCCATTCCCTCCTTATCAGCAAGGCCCCTGCCTGGCTGTTTAGTCCCCTCAAAGCCCAGCAGCTCAGCTCCCAGGCCCTGGTATGTCTCTCTCAGGCCCAGCCTGAAGTATCCACATCACTACACATCTGGGTGGCATCTGAGGGTGACCTCCCCCATCGCACACCAGGAGCCCTTGTCCACTCCCCAGGGAAGCCAGCCCGACTACCCAGGCCCCTGGCCCCTCTGACCAGTGCTTGAGTTTGGTCTCCTGCTGCCCCATCACTCACCAGTCTGTCTTTTCCTTCTAGAACACACCTGGAGCCGAGGGAGAAACATGAGCTAGGAAGAGCATGGACTGGGAGGTCAGGCCTGGGTTCATGCCTTGCCCTACCACTTTATAGCTCTTGTCGTTTTGAGCCATCCCTTAGCCTCTCTGAACCTCAGTTTCCTCATCTGTAAAGTGGGGACGAGGACCACCTTCATCTCACTGGTCCATGTGTGTGAGGAATTACACACATATGCTCACCAGCCTCAGGCAACTAGAAGGTTTGCTGAGTGCCAGGTGTCACCAGCAGTCACGAGCACCAGTCCTGCGGGTGAGAAGCTATGTGGCCTGTCACAGGCTCAGTTCCCATATTTGTCACTTGGCTAGAATGACACCTACCTCATGCACTGCTGGGAAGACCAGACACAACAATGCCTAGCACACAGTAAGTGTGTCATGCCTTTTAATCCACCACAGGAGGAGTCTAAACACCCTACATCTGTGGATCCACAGAACATCAGTTCTCAAAGTAGAACTGGGGACCCCAGGGGTTCCTGACCCTTTTCAGGAACTACTTTCCTATTTTCAGGAACCCCTTTCAAAACTATTTTCATAATAACTAAGCTGTGACTTGTGTTTCTCACTCATTTTCTCGAGTGCACAGTAGGCTTTTCCAGAGGTGCACATGTGTGATTTCACAGAAGCAGAGAGAATTCAGCTATTTTAAAAAATGCAAAACTATGTCACCCTTCTCTGCCACTCTTGTTTTAGAATACATCATTATTTTTCACTAAAATCCTATTGATGTTAACATATAGCAGCACTTAATAATGTTATGGCAGTAGGTAAATATTTTTCAAATGATCTGTTTTATATTGTGGTAAATATGAACGGATGAAACCCATGTAAGCGAAGAAAGCTCTTCAGGGTCCCCAGTAGCGGTTTAGAGGGAGGTCTGAGAACAGCGCCTGCAGAACCACGTGCTCGCTCCATTCGGCTCACCTGAGCCGCACTCCCAGCTAGCTGCATGCACAGTGGGGTACTAAAACTGTGTCCCATCAGTGTTTTGGATCCCCCAGAGAACCCTGCACTGCGTAGGTATGTCCAGTGGGTATGAGCCCAAACTTGCTGAGTCCCTAAGAATCAACCCAGAACCATGGGCCTGGCTGAGCTGCACACGGACCACGTCCTGGTCCAGAGACCATGCTGGACTCCTCCTGCCTTGTAAACCTCACCCCTTCAGGGACCAGCCTGCTGCATTCTCCATCTCCTGTCCAGAAGGCCTGGAGGCCATCATGTGACCCACATCCAGAATTAACTACATGATCCAAGCAGGGTGTCTTACAGCCAGTGAACATTTGCCCCAGGTTTTTGTTGAAAACAAAAAAGGTAAGGGGCCTCCCCGGTGGCGCAGCGGTTGAGCGCTGGGTTGCGAAGCTGCCCGCAGCCTCTGCAGCACCGGTTTGATCCCCGGCTGCTCCCCTGCCATCTGAGGAGGGTCCCACATGGCGCGCAGAACCTCTCCTGCCGCCCGCTGCTCCCCTCAGCAGTGTACTTCGGTCCTTCTGCCTGCTCTGCTCCCCGCTCTGGCTCTGGTGAATTCTCTCACCCTCCCGCGCTTCTGACTGTACTCAGTGCTTGTATAAATAAATAAATAAACACATAAACAAACAAACAAACAAATCAATCAATCTTTAAAAAAAAACAAAAAAGGTAAGAACTTTCTTCCTGAAGGGGCTGCCATGCTGTTAGGCCTGGCGCACCCAGTGGCCATATCCTGGGGCACTGTCGGTGCCACCGTAGAAGCAGAGCATCTGAGAATGTCACCAACTCAGAACCTAGTGATGGAGACAAATTCCTGATTCCGCTGCGTGAGCCCTGGCTCCGGCTATGGCTTCTTGATCACGAGTCAAAAGATTCATTTTTCCCCTTTATACTTACAGTTTGAGTTTCTCTTCCAGCTAAGAGTCCAGGTGAGATAACATGGTCACCAAGATGGCAAGCCGGATGGTGAGGAAGCTGCTGGAAGGACTCGGGGTGACATCCACCAGAGGTATCCCTGAAGCCTGGCATGAACCAGGAGCTGGGGAGATACCCTCTGCCCACCAGAGACCTGGCAGAGGCCCTTAGCAAGCAACACAGCTAGAGAAGCATGGATTTTTCTTTCACTTTATCATTTATAAAGCCATACAATGGATCACAAAGAAACGAAGCAGCTGTACAGGAGTGGGGCGCATCAGTGCACAATACATTCATCTCCTGGATAAGTAGCAAGTTCAAGGTTTATACAAGGTGGCGGCGGTTATAGGCATGGATACAAAATAGGAAGTATATTTCCATCTATATAAATACACAGCCAGGGGGTGGGGAGATGCTGGGTTATTCTGTTTTTCCTGCAGAGGGCCTGGGAGGCATATGAAGTTTCTTAACATTTGTTTTGAATGTAACATCAGAGGGGAGAAAAAACGGGGACCAACAGCTCGCACGCACAGAGGTGCTCGCTCTCACACACGCAAACCAACACACGCACAGGAGAGTCTCAAACTGTTTTAACACTGATTAGAAACAAACTTGGGACATCCCTCGACAGTGAGCTTGCTACTGGGAGGAACCCAGGTGTGGAAAGGAAGGGGCATCTGGGACACCAAGGACAGAGGATCCCCACCCCTGTGGCCGATCCATCCCCACCATCCCCAACACTGAGACTCCACCAATGGGGACCTCACCACCTCCTGCTGCCTTTCGCTGCTGGGGGATACTGAAGTTGATATCCCATTGCCTGCCACCTCCAACCCCAACCCCAGATTCCTCAGAGACAGGCAAACGCACTCATAGACCCACACTTGTTGCACATGCGCGCACACACACACATCCTATTACCACTGGCCAGGGGGCTCCAGACTCAGGGCCCTGGGGCCTGGGCCTAGGTGAACAGTGAGTGACGCAGGGGCTCTGCCGCCCACCCCTCGCCTCTCTAAGGACCTGAGTGTGGGGGCATGTAGGGGCAGAGGAAGTCCTCAAGAGTACTAGACCTCCCTATGTTCTAAAGCTGGAAGAAAACAGAGAATGGGAAAAGACCAGGAAGGCAAGGATGGAGGATGAACAGCAAGAGCACAGGATCTGTCCCACTTGACAGTCCACGCCCCTGCCAGCAGCCAGCCGAGCGGGCAGAAAGCCCTCACCTCCTGGGGGCCCCTTCATGGAAGGACCACACTGTCCCTCTTACAGTCACACAGCCACTGGCTATCCTGCCTGCCACTAACACACCCAGGGGTTCCTCAAAGCCCAGGGCAGGAGCAACCCTAGCAGGCCACATGATTTCAGAGCTGCTGGAGAGACTGGAAGATGGAGATCAGAAAGCCTTTCCCCAACCTAGGACAAGCTGTCTCTGTCCCTCAAACACCTGCGTAGTTGAGGGAGCCAGGCCATGGCAACCACAGGGCGGGGTCATTCCAGTCACCCCTGGAGGTTGATCAAACAGCTCACTTCCTTCCTGCTTCCCCGAGGCCGCCTCGCCATTGTTCCTATGCCCAGTGCTTTCCTCTTGTTCCACCTGGGAAGAGCCACGTGGCTCTCACTGGGTGAATCAGAGATGGTCACTCTCCTGCTCTCCTCCCTCCAGATACCATCCAGGCGGCTAAGGCGAGGCTGGGGCCTGCCTCAGAAGGCCAACTGGACAAAAGAGGCAGGTGAAGCCTGGAGCTGGGGGCTGCGCTGCCTAGGGGTTGGCCCAGGCTGGCCCACCCTTTCTTGCCAACTGCACTCCCCCACTCAGGGTCTATTTCCAAGATCAGACAGCACTCTCCTGGCGGACAAACAGCTTCAACAATAAACAACAGCAAAAAAGGTTGACAGAAGGGGAGGAGAGAAAAAGGATAAACATTTACACAACAATAACAATTATTAAAAGTGCTTTCTTTCAAAGGAATCTTTGGCAAGAATATACTGCAGTGCTCTGCGTGTGTGTGTGCGCGCGCGTGCAGGGCGTGGGGCACACGTGCACGGGCCTAACCTGGGAGACACAGGAGGCAAGTGTGGTCCCAACCAGTGTTAGACCCAAAGTGGGGCCACTGTGGGGGCCCATCCTCATCATCCTTCCAGAAAGGCCAAGCTCTAGGAAATAGCCCCTTCCAGAAGGTGGCTGGGGAAGGAGTGGACAGTTTCCAAGCATCCCCAGGGCCCCAGCAGGGTCACACCGGGCCCAGGCCAGAGCGGAGCCGCCAGCCGCACCTGGCGGTGGAAAGTTCAGGTGAAGGCGACCTCAGACCTGGGCAGGGCGGCCATGGAGTCCACCTCCAGTGAGATGAGGACGTCTGGACCAGGAGCAGAATCCCGGGTGGCTGTCCAGAGGGAGACTTTGATATTTACAAAGGAAGGGGATGGGGACTATCTCCTTAATCCAGGAGACAGTTGGGGTGAGTAAGGCATGAGGAGAGAGGTGTATCAGGCTTGAAGGCCTCAGAAGGAAGAATACTTTGGTGGGACCAAGAACAAGGCTTCACTCTTCAGGAAGCAGGGACTGACTCCCAACCTCCCTCAGAAACTCTCCTTTCCAACTCCCTGAAATACAATGTCCACACAGATGCAGCTTCTTGGAGGAGAAAAATTACACAAGAACACACGTCACCCATGTCTGCCACACACACACCCAGGTCCCCACAGGCTCCCCCTCACTGGAGCCTGCGGGGAAGGGGCAGCTCCCCTTTCATCTCTTGGAGCTGCCAGCCCTGGGCTTGCCAGAAAGTCAGGGGGCAACAGAATGGAACACAAGCACCCCCCACCCCCGCTGAGCCCCACACAGAGGCCAGGGCAAGGCCCCCTGGTTGTTCCAAGCATGAAGGCGCTCTACATTTCAGGCTTTGCTCAGACGTAAGGAAAGGGACAGGAATTGGTTTATGCCCTGGGAGGCAGCAAAGCAAATGTGGGAAAACAATAAATACTTCTGGTCAATTTACCTATTCTTTTTTTGTAACCTTTTCTTATATTTTATTAGCTTACAGATTCTGTCAGTATGTCTCACATATATATTATATATATTTATATATCAATACAATGCCTCTCTATAGGGGAGCCCTGTAGGCTTCAGAGGCCACTCAAGAATGGAGTCCTGGTGCATTTTCCATTCCAGCTTAAGAGTTCTCGGGTGATGGTCGCAGATCTTCCCAATTGCCCAAATGGAGTCTCAGCCCTCTAGTCTAATAATGCATGCTTTCTGCCCTCTGCTTCTGGGCAGCTTGGCTCTGCTGGGGAAACCAAGGCAGAGGAGAAACAGACGGGTTTTGGCATTGCAGGTAGGCTGTGTCATGTATATGCAGCAGCCCCCAGAGGTCTGCTAATATGGCTCTGGGTAGCCCAAGAAAAAAGTCAGACCCCAAAATGCATGCAGAGGGGAGCACAAGACTGCAGACTTCTCCCCTGAACCTCACTGGGCAGGGATTTTGGAAGTAGTTCCCCAGGATGTGCCCCAATGTGGGGCAGGGCAGAGCAGTCTCCAGCCCCATCCCAGCCCCCCAAAAGGCAGCATGCAGAGATATCGGAGATAAGGCTGGTCTAATGCGCTGAGGCTGGGAGCTGGCAGGAGTCACTCGCCACCTAGTTGTTGGGCCTCAAACCTCAGGGAAGATGCCAGGAGCTCAGCGGCCACTCTTCCTGAAGATCTCTTCCCCAAAGCTATGGGCACATGTTCTCAAACCAATACTCAAGCATGCTGGTGGTAGAGGACAGAGGAACTATTGTGGGGGAGCTGGCCCCACTCCTGCTGAGGTCTTGGTCAAGGAGAAGGGGCTGGTGGCACCGAGGGGTGCTAGTGTACAGGCACAGAGACCAAGAGAGAGCTGGTCACCCATAACCATGGGTGCCCCTGGGGAAAAGCATTTATATCCCCTCCTGCTGCCCTATCACCCCCAATTCTAATCTGTGGAGAGTTTGCACATGTACGTGCAAACACATGGGACATGGACAAGCATACTTGTTTATCATTCTAGCTGAGAAGCAAACAGAAGTTAGCATGTGAGGTGTGGGTGCAGACCTATGTATACCCCATATTGACCCACACACAAATACCCATCAGAGGCAGAGCAAAAAGACCTTAGGCGCCTCGGGTTGAGATACTTTCAGAAGCAGAAGTCCCACCACATGATGTCCACGCAGACTCTTTGGGGTTGACTATCTACCCTAGAGCTGGCCAGAAAAAGAGTCTCTCAACCTGATTTCTCTTTGCAAAATAGTTGGGCTCGAGAGACAGAGCTTTTCCATTCACCCCCCCAAATATGGGTCCCCAAGGAGGCTGGTTCTGTCTCCTTTGAGGAGCTCCATCCTCTTGGAGGGGCAGGAGGAGCTGGGCAGACCTGGCGGGTTTGGGAGGCTTTGGGAGTTTCGCAGCATCCACCTGATCAGGGGAATCCGAGATATTCTCCTCCAGCTTTTTCTTTCTTTGTCTTTCTTTTCCCCTCCCCTCTGCAATTCACGTCCCCCTCCCCACGTTGCACTTTCTTCTCTCCTTCTCCAAAATTGGCCCAAAGTCCTCCTTCTGGATTCAAGAGTGGTCAGAATTCACGGGGTCCTCTCCCCACTGCCCCGGCCACGGGCTAGAGGGCTCATCTCTTCTGGCCCGCGCTCAGCATGACCTTGGAGACGAAGTTGACGATGGCGGAGGCGGGCTGGTTGGGGTCAAGCTCAGCGAAGAGGTGGCAGGCATTGTCCGTGGTGCTGCCCTGCTTCCTGGCCACGAAGCCGAAGAGCCTGCAGGGGGAGGAGAGGGTGACAGGTATGAGGGGAGGCAGGGCAGCGAACCCCAGGCCTTGAACAGCCGCCCAAGTGAGCAAACTTATCTTCAGGCCAACCTCAACGCGCCCCCACCTCTGTGTCTCTCTGAGTATGGCGAATGGGGGGTGGAATCCTGATCCACAGACAAGTCCTGGAGATGACACTGTCACTTTGAGAGTAGGCAGAAAGCTGCCATGGAAATGCGAGGGGGGAGGAGAGGCTGGGGGTGAAAAGACAAGACTGGACAGTAAGAGATGGGGATGGGCCCAAAAATAAAAAGGAGACATTCCTAGGCGAGCTTCTCTCAGTCCCTCCCGGCCACACCCCTACCCGACTGTTCTTACATACAACACATGAGCAAAGGAATAAAGTGCTGAACGCCTGTCAAAGGGCTTGGTCTCCCCAGACACCATGAAAGACAAAATGACAAGGGGTCACCCCCCTCCAAGGCTCAGACACACACACACACACTTCTCCTGGGCTTAAAAGGAGGAGACCCCACACCTCTCCCTTCCCCTAAACCCCCTCCCTGCTTCAAGACTGGAGTGACCTGGCATTCTCTCTGTGCAAAACAAGAGTTAAAAATATGAGAGCAGAGAACAGAATGTGAGCGCAGGTCCCCTCCCAGCCAGCACATTGCTAATTAGAGCGAGATGGGGAAATCGGGACAGCTGGAGATTCCAATGAAACCCCTCTCACTCGGACTGGACCACAACATCTAAAATTAGCAAAGTTGGGTCTGGCTTGCAGGCACGCGTGCACACACACACCCACACAAACACACACACCCACACACAGTTTCCTACAGCCTTGCTCTCCCCAACTTTGTTTCAGAGCTGGCAACAATCAGGCCAGAGCCAGAGGTCTGGGGCAATGGTCTGCCCCGGTGGAAAAGCCTGGGCCCAGGGATCAGCCTCCAGAATCCCCTTCCCCAGCCTGCTTGGGCCCCTCGGTGCAGTGGAGGGCAATAAGGGCAGAGTGAAACAGTGGCTCATAGCTCCCAACCAAGGGTGTGTCCACCCTGGCTGCCCACTTCTGCCAGTGGGACCTGCCAGGACTGCCAGCCCCTGGTGCTCACTTCTGTCATGGCTCCAGCTTAGCAACAGCCAAGTCGCTTCTCTGCCCCCAAGGACGGGAAGAGCAAATGCCCATAAATGTGGGGTGTGAGGCCCCTGCCTGGTTGAGTGGGATCCCTGTCCCCTGGCCTCTGTTCCCTGGCCCAGCAAGACCACATCAGCAGGAAATTTGACACAGAACGAACTTCTGAATGAGATGATTTCAGGCCTGGGGTCTTTCCACCCTGTCCTCTTGCAGGGCCCAGTGGTGAGAGCACAAAAGGATCCGGGGACCTTAGTGATGCTGTGACCCGGGCGGGGAACTGAGGTCAGCTCAGAGCAAGCTTTGATATGGCCAGATATACCCTCCTGGGTCAGCCTTTCAACTGATTCAGGCTGATAATAACCGCTAACAGTAACATGGTTTTTCCTCCCTTCTCAACACTCAGTTGCAATCTGAGGGTCCCAGGGTTCCATGGAACACAGCTTGAAAACCACCAAAGCACGTCCGTGCTATTTATATACGTGTTTCATCCACTATGCCAATGTCAGGCCTCCTGAGGGCAGAATCAGTCCCCTCATCCTTCTGAATCTCCCAGGGTTAAGCTCCCCAGAGGCCTTAGGAAATGCTGAATGGGTGGGAGAATCCACCCAAAGGTCCCAGGGCCATTTCCAGAATTCAGAATGATAAGGAGGGAGGTCTGGTTCAGCCACAAGATTCACAGAATAATCAAAAAAAAGAAAGAACAGGAATCAAGGAGCCAGGAGGGGACTAGAAAAGGTTGTTTAAAGCACCCCTGCCCCACGGCCTCCAATAAAACTTTCCCCAAACCCTGCAGCTTGACCCCTCAGAGAAGGCAAAAAGATTGGCAGCTCGACCACTGGCCGCTTGCCGCGGCTTTCCCCAAAGCTGAGCGACCTGGGCACAAAGGCCCTTGCCTACCCACTGACCCAGATTCTCAACCTGCCCCTGTTCTCCCACCCCAAAAGCCAGCCAGCTGGCTGGGGGAGAACCACACTTACTTAGCAGGGGCGCTTCCCTCTGTCTTCATCCACCTGTGGAGAGAAAGCGCACAGTTACACCACTGCACTTCTGCCCTGGCAGAGGCCCAAGAGCGCCCAGCCTTCCATGGGGTCTCTGAAGGCCATGCAGAAGCATCAAGGTGGAGAGAACACTGTCACCTGCCTCTCCCAGAACTTTCCAGGGGGAGAGGAGACACAGGGTCAGGCTCGGGGTCACAGCAGAGAGGACAGACACAGGCATTTGCGTCCCTAGGAGAGGCTACAAATTCAGTGGAAAAAACTCAGAAAGATGCCCAACTCCTTACTCATATTCCCACTGACACAGGCAGACTCCAAGGTAAATCAAGAACACACACATACACACGCTCACTCTTTGGTGTTCTAGAGCTGACTGGAAAGGAGTCTCCAAGACACTTACTTTCTCTCCTGCGGATCCAGGTCACAGAAGGTGACAGTGCTGAGGGGGTAGTGTCGTCTGAAGAAAAGCCTGTGACACAGACATCACATAAACAGAGAGTGAGTGCTGATGTGGCCGCTGCCCCACCTTTTACCTGCAAGTCAGGCAACTGTCTGTGGCCGTCATGGGCCTCACAGCCTCAACCTGACGAGCAAGATGGCCCAGGCTGCTCACATTGGGGACAAAAGCATTGCACGGGGCAGACAGATGCGTCACAGAAACATCTCCCCAGTGCCAGAGGCTAGGAAGAAGAAAGAAACGGGACTCGAGGAATGAGAAATGAGGGCAGGGGTGGCGTCCTGGGGGAGAGACAGAGGAAGACTCTGCTCTAGAAATCACTTTGCACCAGCTTTGCTTCCAGCTGTATATCCCCTGCAGGCATATTTGTAGAAGGAGGGATGGATATGTGAATGGAAAGGTGAGTGGAAACATAAATGGGTAAAGGAATAAATAGGTAGGGGAGGATGCGTACGGAGGGGAGGGATGGATAGATGATACATGGGTGAAGAGATGGGAGCAAGGTTAAGTCACTTATTAAGGAGGTGTGTGAAAGGATGGATGGATGAAGATAGATGGGTGGACAGATGGGAGGAAGGGGTGAATCAACTGCTAAGTGGGTGGATAAAAGGATGGGTGAGTGAATGAACAGACAGATGGATGGACAGATGCACACATGGAATATGGAAGAGAGAAAAATAAATGGCTGGAGAGAGAGAGGTACAGGAAATGAATCAACGGTCATGGTGAGTAGGTAAGGCCATGGAGAGATCGGTCACATAAGAAGAGCCCAACACAGAAGCAGGTAGAAGAATCTTACTTTCTCTGGTTGTCAGTCAATGTAATTCCTTGGGCGGAAACTTTGAAGTGGACAATGGTGGCAGCCGGTGTGGGGTCAGCAGCCAGTGTCTCCGAAGTAGCTTTAGAAATGGCCTGTGGGCCAGTGAGTGACTCCATATCCACAGAGTTGATGAAGAGCACGTTGCAGGCTGGAAGAAACCCACACAAGGTGTCATGGGGGTGTGGGTAGGGATGAGACCCCAGGTCACATTGTTTTTCTGCATTGAAGAACTGGGGTACAGGCCATAGGTGCAAGAGGTGAGTGGATTTACCAGAGACAGAGTGGGGAGCAGAACAGGCTGATCTATTAAAACACATTGCTAAGGGGAGCAGTGGGCAAGACAGGAGAGGACTCCTGCAGCATACGTGGGTGAGCTCCCTGGCCAGGGAGCAAACTCATGCCACAGTGGTGGTAGTGCTGAGACTTAACCCCTAGGCCAACATGGAGGAGCCCCTGATTTTTTTTTAAATTGAGACACTGGTTTTCAACATTGTGCATGATTTAAAAGTACAGGCTCACACCCTCAAGTGTATGTTACCATACCACACCCACCACCAAGACCCCCATAATTTTTCACCATAGTCCATTCTGCCTCCTCCCCACTATACTGTCTCCACCCAGGGTCCCTCTTCAGGGAGAAGACAGCAGATGAACTGCATGGCAGCCCCAGGTCACAGGGGCTACACAGCCACATGTGGATCTGGGAGAGATGTTCGGCCTGCGGCTTCAGGAGAAGACAGGGCAGGGAGGAGGAAAGGCTGCAGCAGAATCCAGCATCCAGAACCACTCACCTGCCCCTTGCTTCAGCAGATCAGTGGTTGAGTTGGCAGAGCCTGCACCATCTTTGGAATCTTCTGTGGGATCTGAGACAAAAATTTCATTCAGCTGGTAACTAAAAATCTAGCATTGCACTGGAGCACAAAATGGCCAGGCCTGGGGAGAATTCTGCATATACTTTGTGCAACGGACACTGCTTTTCCCAGCAGGCCCAGGCAGTGTGTCCAGTGTGAATGCTCCATGATAACCAAAGTATTCAACATACTGGCTAAGTGCTTCAGAGTCGAAGAGAGCTTAGGCCCTCACCCCAGCACTTGCCAAGCATGCAGAGAACATGGATGATGATGGACAGTGCCCACTTCACTGGGCTTTTGAGATGTTCCAGTACAGTGTCAGCCCAGGGCCTGCACGAAGCAAGACTTCAAGTGACAACTGATCCTGCTGTGGTCTCTGTTTTATATTGTGTCTCTGTGTCACTCAATAAGTGCCCTAATTCTTTAATCCCTTTAAGTAGCACAACAGTAACTTCAACTTTAATAAGACCTGAGTATTGTCTATACACCAGCATTTCTCACTTTGGAGTGACTCTACTCCGGAGTCTCTGACTAGGTGGAGCTTGAGAATATTTGCCTCTTTAATAAGTTCCGGGGGTGCTGATGTATGCAGGAGGCCAGATCTTGAGAACCACTGGTTGAAATTTAAATATCAACCAACTTTGTAATTGTGAACTACTTGGTAATTAGCTGTAAGATTATCATTTAATTAGCATCTAAATTAAATTACTAAAGCTATTTAAGTTGTATTTGAACTTTTAAGCTAATAATGTTGGCCAATTATCATTAATAATTCAATGAGTTGAACTGCATACCTAGAAATTATCAAATAATATTGGAGGTTTTATGTGCGGGCATAACCCCAGGTGTGGGAAGAGACTGGACGAAAGTCCCAGCAGTACTTTTGAATATCCTATTACTGAACAGATCAGACTGGAGGAAGGCATCCCGGGTCCCAGTTCTGAGACCTCAAGCTCAGGCTCAGCATAGTCCCCTCCCGCGGGCCATGGGTACTTGACAATGTGGCAAGTCGATTATGTGTGCTCCCAAAGTTTAGTTTTTTAATGAATTTTTCCTTCTGTTTTAAAAGGGAAAAAAAGGGAAAGGGGAGCGTGGTTTCAAGTTTCCCCAGAATTGGCAAATAGACCCATGTCCTCCCCCAGCCCATGTTCTAGAGCAGCAAGCTGGCAAGGTGCAAACTCAAAGGAGGCCAGCTTTAAGGGTATGTTCGGAGGGAAGGAGTCTCAGGTTCCTACCTCGGTTTGGAATGACCAGCTTACAGGGCAGGGCCAGCGGGATGATGGAGTGCTGGTAGACCAGGGCCGACAGCGATCCTGCAGGGGGAACACAGCGTGTCAGAGCAATGTTCCCAGGAGAGTATCTCAGGCCCGTAGTGAGGGAGCCCTCCCACCCACCCCATATTGATGACCTTCTTCTTCTTTATAACCTCACACCATCCCACCAACACCAGCTGAGTCCCACCAGCTGAGTCTACTCCCTCTCTGTTAGCAAGATCCAAGGGAGGCAATTCTTAGAATCATAAGTTTGCCTAACAACTTTCTCTTATAGAAGGTTCCACCCAATCTCTCCCCTAAGTCCTTCAGCTGCTGGGGTCCCTCTCCAGACAGTGCAGCAAAAGTATTAGAGGATGGAGGGATCTAATGGATCATCAACACTACTCTGTGTTCTTGGGTCAGTCTAACTTCTATGACCCTCAGTTTCCTCACATGTGAAGTGGGGACCTACAGCACCTACCAAGCATGACTGTCACGAGACCAGAAGAAATACAAGTCCCTAGTCAGCGGCTTTCACACAGTAGATGCACAGAAAAGGCAGCCACTGTTATTAAGATGATAACAACACTGTGTCTCAGTGGAGCAGGACAAATACAGGAGGGAATTTGGGGGAAGTGAGGAGGCTGTTCATTTTCTCTGCTGTGGCTCTGAAAAAGGGCCTGAGAGAACGTGCATGGGGTTCGGGGGAGTGGGACAGGCTGAGACTGCAGGTAGAGGGTAGACACAGGCAGTGCAGGAGGTGGGAGGCAACTCACCAAAGTTTGGCTCGTTGGGGCACCCCTTGAGTTTGACACCTCTGGGGCCCGTCTCTATCAGGAAATGCCTCACCAGTTCATGAGTCATGTCGCCTGAGAACAAAGAGAAAAACTGAGACCAGTCACTTGCCATGGCATTTCCCCTCCACATGCCCTTACCCTCCCCCTCCCAGGAGCTTCACTCTCCAGGATTCAGGTTACCATGGGGATGGGAGCAAGTGTCATGGAGATAACACGGCCAGAGTGGGGAAGGGAGACTCCGCCTCTCTTCTCCTGACCTTCAAGGCAACTCAATCAGAGTCACAGAAATCTTGCTTTCCTGTCCCCTGACCCCAGCCATCACCGAACCCAAGACAGGCTCTGCTGCAGAGTGTGATTTAACAGGGGTCAGCTCCCAGGAGAATGTAGACCTGCCCAGCCCCAGGCCCTGCTGTCATCTCAGGGTTGGAGAGACTGCCCAATGCCAGGGCCGCAGAGACAGCTGGAAGAGGTGAGGTTACCTTTTTTATTCTGCTGCATGATGGTGGGAGGGGGAGAAGACACCTTCATGGCCAGCCCGTAGGCTCCCCGGAAGGAGTGGCTGTCACGGATGATGAAGGCCCCTGGCTCCTGGTCCTTAAGGAGGGCGATGGCTGGAGTGAAGGGGTAGGAGAGAGAAGGAAATCAATGTCCGGCATGGGCTCTACTTCAGTCTCAGGGCCTAGAGCCTCATTCTTTCTGAGAGGAGAGGAGATTGTCTATGAAGTTAGAATGCAAGATTCCGAGGGTCCTCCTGTGCTAGAGTTGGGAACCTCTCTACGAAGAGCCAGGCTCAACATTTCTGGCTTTGCTGGCGTGTGGTCTGTCACAGCAGCCGCACTCCGCCACTGCTGTGTCCAGTGAGACTGCAGTTACAGAACCAGGCAGCAGTCAGATGGCCTCGGGAGCCATCGTTGCTCATACCCTGTCCTTCACCCACACAGACAATCCTCGAGAGCCTCAGGCTGGCCTCCACCCAACCCCCACACTCCCAATTTTGCTTTTTCTGTCACATAAACAAAAATCTCCCATGTCATGCCCATGGAGAGCTCAGGTTCACTATTATCTTGACTGGCCTTTGCCTTTGTCCAGAATCAAGACTTTGCTGACTCAAAGACCCTTCCAAGGACTATCTCCAAACACAGCTTCTGCTCCCCACTCACAGTTCCCCGGGGGAGATGCTTCTTTATACTGTCTGGCCTGGATCCCAGGCCTTTCTCTGTGACCCTTGCAAATGGGAATGAGTCTGCTGCGGCCCTTGTACAGCCAAGCCCCACTGGGCAGCAGCCAGTTGGGACCTGAGGGACCACAGGGTCTTGGTGCTGCCTGCACTCACCCTGCTCCCTGGAGATCTCAGGTTTGTACCAATACTTGGAAGTGTCCTGGACAAACTTCACTTTAGCCCGCGTCTCAGGGCTGTTGTCTAAAGGAGGAGAGGAAAAAAAAAGTGTTACAGAATGAATTGCAACCTCCAAAAAAGGGCAAGTTAGAGTCCTAACCCCCTGCCCCATACCTGCGAATGGGAGACCTTATCTGAAATAGGGTCTTTGCAGAGATGATCAAATTAAGATGAATGAGCATGTGGGATTAGGGTGGGCCCTCACCCAATATGATTGGTGTCCTTAGAAGAAGGGGGAAAGAGACAGACACTTGGAGAGAGCACATCACATGAAGATGAAGCAGGGCTTGGAGTGATGCTTTCACCCATCGAGGGGCCCCACGGACCCCAGGCCACCAGGGAAGCTAAGAGAAAGGTCTGATACAGCTCTCCCTCAGGGTCTCCAGAAGGAGCCAACCCTGCCAAAGCCTTGATTTCAGACTTCTAGTCTCCACAACTGTGAGAGAACAAATTCCTATTGCCTTAAGCCATCAAGTTTGTGGATCTCTACTATGGCTGCCCTAGGACACCAACCCAGAAAGTCAGCCCCTCCAACAGCATCTGAGCATGGCTAGAAGGGTCCTTGAAGAGCCAACACTCGGCCCGCTGGTGACCGTTGGAGACCACAGAGCAGCTCTCCTGTTGAAGGGCCTGGCATGCTGAGCCAAGCTAGAAGGTCCCTTTCTCCAAGAGATGCAGACTAAACCTTTCCTGCAGCTTCTCCCTCAGGCTGTGACATCCCATCTTCTGGCCCCTTTCTCCACAGGCTCATGTCCCAACTTTATCATAACAATACATGATATATATAATTATTATAGGATGAGGATAAGGGCAGAAAGACATGCTTCTGCTCACTTCTCACCAACCTTAATATTTGCTTTCTAAGGAAAAAACAAAAAGAATATAGAGGCTATCTGCCGTGTGTCCTGTACCCCACTTCTCTGGCAGGTAATTCCCCTCCCAGGCCCTTTGCAGGCCAAGGATGCTTTCCTAGACATCAGGTTGTGGAAGCGCTCAGAAGGCTACAAGTCCAAGCGCTTAGCTTCACCACCAAGGAAAGTGAAGTGCAGAGCAGAGAGCGCCCTGCGGGCTCACACACAGCCGGCCTACAGCAAGGCCTGCTTGGGGCTGGCTGAGTGAGGAGCCGCAGCGGCAGTTCAGTGGACTAGGCCCAGCTTCCTGCCTAGGGATCACCCTGAACAGCCTTCACTCGCCAACCTCTTTCTTCATCTTTTTGCATGAGAACAAGAAAAGGGGTGGGGTAGAAAGGAAAGGCAATATTGCAATTCTGCGAGTCCTCTCCTTTCTGCAGGGAGGCTGGAGCAGAGTCTGGACGACTCTGTGAAGTTAAGGGCACAGGCCAGAGACATGGGCTGGGCTGCTGGTCCGGGGCTCAATTTCAGCTTGTCATTCACTCGGCTAGGCTGCTGGGATATGTCTATGGAGGACAGCGAGGAGCAGTCTGTGCCCTTTGCTGCCAGCTGTGCAAGAGGATGGTCTCTGGGCTAGGCAGCAGGGCCATGCTCCATGGCTGCAAGCAGCTTCCTCTGCTCTGCAGCCCAGGCCCCCACCACTGCTGCTGCTGGGTCTGTCTGATGAGCTGTCAGAGGCGGCTGCAGCACCATGTGCCTTCCTGTGTTGACTCCAAAGGCTATTTTAAGCAGGGAAGATGGTGGGAAACAGGAAATGTCCCAACTATTACAAGTTCTGCATCCAAGGAGAGGGACTGGGAACCAGATGTCTCTGGTGGGCAGCAGGAAGCAGGGGTGAGCAGGGGGCGCTGTAGGTATCCCAGCTTGGCAGGCTCAGGGCAGGACCCGGGAGTGACACTGAGACTCTGAGAATCTGGGCAGCTGGCCCCTCCCCCCAGGCTGTCTGGAACATTCCAAATGCATCTCCAGGGAATCACAGCACCCAGCCCGTCTGCACAATCAAGTTCCAGGAGTGGTTGAGAAGCTGCCAGTCACCTGTGTGTGCAGACACTGAGCCCTGTAAGTGGAGGCAAAGATGACAAGTGCTGATGCCGAATGAAGAGTTTAGTGTGCAAATGTGCACGAGCTTCAGTGAAGCTGGGTCGGCAGAAACTACATTCCTGTGCAAATGCCCAGCCCTTGACCTTGGTCCTTATCGCATCTGGCTTCCAGGTCTATTACTAGTGATGTGTGCACAGCAAGGATCAAAAAGTGGAAACAAAGTGCCGGCTAAAGGGGTGGAGATCCTGGTTTGGAATGCCTGTTTTTCAAGATGATGCCAAACTGCAATAACCCTCAAGATATGGAAACAGGGTACAACCACTCGATGGCACTGGATAGGGAGCCTGGCTCTGCCATTTATTAACTGCATGGCCCTATACAAATGACGGGGCCTCTCCAAGTCTTAGCTCACATGTGAAATAGAGCTAAAAACATCTACTCTGCCCAGTGACCACGAGGATACATGAAACAGTACTTAGCTGGGAGCTTGGCACACAACCAGGGCTCACCAAGCGGAGGGGGCTCTGCCAGAGATGGTAATCCTAACAGTGAGGCACCATTATTCTGTTCATCCTCGTCACGGCCTCTGGCCTGAACATCCTCACTGCTGCCCCCACAGCTACCACAACCACAGAGCACCAACCCTGAGGACATCTCCAACACATACAAGGAAGCTGAGGCCCAAAACCAGTGATCCCCGTGAGTGTCTGCCAAGGAGATGTCAGATCGGAGGCAAGAACAGCCATCTTAACTTGTGGACGTAATCCACCAGCAGCAGGAGGGGAAGGGGAGGGAGAGGCCCACCTGGCATGGAGTACTTGGAGAAGTCAGGCAGGGTGTGGGAGAAGGAGACGGTGCTGCCTCCGCTGGGACTCGACATGCCGCTGGCCACAGGCGAAGAGGACACCTTCCCGTTGATGGTGGCGTAGTTGGGGAGGCTGCCTGCTCGATCTCCCATGGACATCCTCCGCTTCTCTGGCAAGGCTGGTGTCGGACTCCCTTGCCGGAAGGCCGCTGAATCGGGCGAGGGGGAGGTGGCAGGGCTGCTCAGGCCAGGGTAGTAGGCAGGGGACACGGGGAAGGAGGGCGTGGAAGGAGCCTGATAGCCAGAGGCACTGCTCTGCCGGGACAGCGTGGGTCTCCGGTCCTCAGGGGTGGAGTAGCCGCCATAGGCCACGTGCCGGTCCAAGCTGGGACTGCCAGGAAGCACAGCTCCAGACCCTCCCAGGTGGCGGCCCAGACTCGGGCTTCCGGGGCTGGCTATTGCGTTGCCGTGGAGATTGGAGGCCAGGTTGCTTTGGTGGGCCCCAGGGTGCCGGCCCAGACTTGGGCTCCCTGGAGTGGGCACCACATTGCCGTGGGGACCAGAGGCCTGGTGGGCCCCGGCCGGATGTCGGCCCAGACTTGGGCTCCCTGGAGTGGTCACCATGTTGCCATGGAGGCCTGAGGCCTGGTGGGCCCCAGGGTGCCGGCCCAAGCTGGGACTGCCTGGAGTGGTCGCTGCACTGCTCTGGGGACTGGAGACCACATTACCATGGAAACCAGTTCCAGGACCCATCGCCTGGCGGTGGCTCAAACTGGGGCTGCCAGGGGCAGCCATGCCAGGGTTTACAGCCCGCCGGCCAAAGCCAGGACTAGGGGGAGTGTTGGTGCCCACTGTCCTGTGGCGCGCCTGAGGGCTCCCAGGCACCGTGTGCATGGCAGCCACACTGAGTTGAGACGGGGCCTGGCTTTCCGGGTTGCTGAAGGGCTGCAGGGAGTAGTCGGGGCTGCTGTAGCTGCTGCCCACAGTCGGGAGAGGAGAAGAGCTCTGGTAGTTTCTCTGGGCCGAAGGGCTGGGCTGTCCCAGGCTGCCAGCGCGGAAGCCAGAATCCAGCAAAGGCTGGGTGGGCGTCCGGGGGCCCTGGTCACTGCTCTCCCCGGATGGGAAACTCCCCACTGAAGTGCTGGAGAAAGAGAGAGAGAGAGAGCAGGTTGAGATGTCAGCAGATGGCACCCTCAGAGCCCCACTCCCATGAAAGGGGTGCCAGGGCTTATGTGCACCACCCCATGGAACCATCACAAGAAGAAACTGAGGCTCAGAGCAGGTAAGCAGTAGGTTCACCAAACACAGTAAGCACAGTTCATACAAGAGCAGGGTTCCTTCTCAGTTGTGCTGGATTCCAAATACTGTGTGTTCCCCACCACACCATGGGACTCCTGGCCACCAGTCAAAGGCAGGAGCTTCCCCGAGGAAACTGAAGGTGTCTGCCTTCCTGTCACCTCCAGCATCACAGACACTGAACACTGGAGAGGGGGGTCAAACCCTCTGGCTCCTGTGCCTCCTGGGACTAGCCCCACCTTGACTCAGTTTCCCCAGGTGTGTTGTCATCATTAAACACTGACAGCACTAAAATTAGGCTTTCACTCCTGTGAGCTCCAAAGAGCAAAGACAGGAAGTCTCACAAAGGAGATTTCAGCTCAGAGTAAGGCTTGCTTGTCAGCCATTGGAACTGCAACTAATGGAGTGAGCCGCCTTGCACAGTAATGAGACTCCCGTTACCACGAGCATTTAAACAGGGACCCACCAGCCTTGCCACCTGAATATTGAGGCAGGAATAGCCTCCATTAGGAAGTTAGACTAGGTGAGTTCAGAGGTGGGTCCCAACCCTAAGACTCTGATGAAATTCAGTTTAGAAGGGGCTATACCTGGGAGAACAGCCACACCAAAGGCTCCCCTCTGGGGTCAAGTTCAAGTCTATGTGGTAGCACAGAGCAATGGCCTGTGCGTCAGGAAACCATGTGGAAAATGGAGGCCCTGGGTTAGCTGACCCCGATTCCGTCCAGGCCCAGGCTTTTATCCCTCCATGATATGGCAGGAGACAAAGACTGACAGGGAGCCTGGAAAGCAGCGGCTGCAGGGAGGTAGCAGACAGACTCTGTACCAGGACTCTGTACCTTGCTCCCTGGGGAGCAAGAGGGATCCTCACATGATGATAGGAGCTCCAAACTAGGAGTCCCAAGCCCAGGATGGAGAAGCTGGATCCCAGGTGATGGGCGGTATAGGGTCCAGCCAGAGCCTGAGGGCTCCCAGGCACCGTGTGCACAGCGGCCACACTGAGCTGAGACTGGGCCGGGCTTTCTGGGTTGCTGAAGGGCTGCAGGGAGTAGCAGCAGGGAGGTCTGGGAGGGCAGGGAGAAGGTCAGACGCCAGGACAAAGTCTGCCTTGAATCCCAGATGGGGCCAGAGGCCGCCTCCTGGTGTTAATAACCCTGGCTTGTGAGGAATGGAGGACGTGTCAGTGAGCAGGGTGGGTGGGGGACACTGGAATAGAGTTCAAGAAAATTAATCCCAAAGGAGAAGCACTAGCTTCCTGAGTCCTGACAAGAGCAACACAACAGCAGGAGGAATTTGAATGAGAAACTGAAAACTTCCCAGCGCAGCACTCAACCGTTTGTGCCACCCGGGAGGCTAAGCTGTCTGCGGCCTCTGCGGCATGGGTTCGATTCCCAGCCGGCCAGGGAGATACCCTCATGGCGCAGCAGACCTTTCCTGCTTCACCCACTGCTCCCCTCAGCAGTGTCTTTGGTCATCTGCCTGTTCTGCTCCCGGCTCTGGCTCTGGTGAATTCTCTCACCCTCCCACACCTCTGACCTGTACCCCAGTTCTTGTATAAATAAAAATCTTAAAAAAAAAAAGAAAGAAAGAAACTGAAAACTTCCTAATGTCATGGCTCCCTGAGCATCAGTGACGGGGGCTGAGCAATTGGGAAAAATCTCCTCTGACTCAGACCTCCAGAGAAACAGAGTGCCTGCCCTGCCAGGAGACGGGGAGGGGACGAGGCTGACTGGGGGTACATGAGGTTTCAGAACCCTAGAATTCAGAAGAAAGCTGCCCTCTGCTTACCCAGAGCCCCACCCTGACCTGAGATGCGGTGTGATGCACTGGGCTGGTACACGGTAGGCAGCAAACTCACCCCACAGGACCTGGCCTGTGGGTATGGAAGGGGTGACTGGCGAGTTGCCGGGCTCCATGGGATTCCCAGGACAGGGAGGAGAGTTGGGTGGGGAGAGGAGGATCTCCCTTCTGGGGGTGAGTTCGTTCCTCCTGTGCCTGGCACGCTCTACCCTGCCAGGGCTGATCTCACTGTCATATGTCATCTCGACCACTCTCCCTGTTATAAGGCCTAAACTCACCCCTCCCAGCTGAACAGCTTCTCACTGCACCCCAAACATGGGGTCCTCCCTCATTAGAGTTCCCCTGCCCACTTGTGAGCTCTCCTCTCTGTCCCACCCAGAACGCCACTGGCCCACCCACGAAGACATCTGTCCTTCCACGACATGCAAAGAATGAAACTAGACAACGACCTCACAGCGCACACAAAAAACAACTCAAAATGGATAAAAGATTTGAATGTAAAAGATCTGAAACCATAAAACATGTAGAAGAAAACATAGGCAAGACACTCCATGACGCACACCTCAGAAACATCTTTGAGGACTCATCCCCTGAAGCAAAGAAAATGAAGGAAAAGATAAACAGCTGGGACTACATCTAACCGAAAAGCTTCTGTACAGCAAAAGAGACAATAAGCAAAACGAAGAACTACCCTACAGATGGGGAGAAAATATTTGCACTCCACACAGCTGGTAAGGGACTTCTATCAAAGATCTACCAAGCGCTTAGACAACAAAAACAAAGTAAACAACCCAGTCAAAAAGTGGGCAAAAGAGCTAAAAAGACACTTCTCCAAAGACGAAATGCAAATGGCCAACAGACACATGAAAAAGTGCTCAACATCGCTTATCATCAGAGAAATGCAAATCAAAACCTCAATGAGATACCACCTCACACCAGTAAGAATGGCACATATTTTAAAAACTGGCAACAACAAATGCTGGTGAGAATATGGAGAAAAATGAACCCTCTTACACTGCTGGTGGGAGTGCAAACTGCTCCAACAACTATGGAAAGCTGTGTGGAGGACACACAAATTATTAAGAATGGATCTACCATATGACCCAGCCATTCCACTCCTAGAATCTACCCAAAGGGAACAAAAACATTAACTCAAAAGGAAATTTGCATTCCAATGTTTACGGAAGCACTATTTATAATAGCCAAGATATGGAAACAACCTAAATGTCCAAAAACCGATGACTGCATGACGATGTGATATATATAGACAATGGAATACTACTCAGCACTCAAAAAAAGATAAACTCATGCTATTTGCAGCAACATGGATGGAACTGGAAGGGATAATGTTCAGTGAAATAAGTCAGAAGGAAAAAAGAAAAATGCCAGATGATGTCACTTACGGGAGGAATATACAGAAACCAAACAAAAAGTTAAGAAAAAAAGGACAAAATTAGCAAGCAATTATAGATCTGAGGCATATAGCAGGGGAGGAGGAGAGAGAGGGATCAAAACAGGTGTGGGACAGGCACAGGGACTATGGTATGGTTCACAGGTGATGTGGGGTGGGTTATTTACAGGGACTACACCTGAGGGGAAAAAATCAAATACTGTACAAAAATGAACAATGTAAAAAATTTAAAAATCAATAAAAGAAAAAAAAGTTGACAGAAAAAAAAAAGACATCTGTCCTCAACCTAGGTGACACGCCTCACCTGCAGCTGGTGTCCCTGCCCCACATCTCCAACACCCCCCAGCCCTCTGTCCTCATTATGCTGCTGTTCCAGAATGCCCCCCCTTCCTCACCTCCCCACCCTTCAACATCTTGCTTATCCTCTGACCTCTCCACAAATACCTAAAAGCCCCCAGAAGTTCTCCCTGAATCTCTAACTGTAACAGCCCCTTCTGCTGAGCTCTCACACCTGCTCTGGGCCCCTCAGATGCCCATTCTGTGACCTTTGGGCACCACAGTGCAAGTCTGGGGGGAGGACAGAGCCCTGAGTTCTGCACCAGACACCTGGGGTCTGAATCCTGTTCTGCTACTGTTTAGTTGCAAGATATTGAACATAAAATTTGGCCTCTCTGCACCTCAGTTTCTTCTTCTGAAAAGTAAGAAGAGTAATAGTATTTACCTGCGAGGGCTGCAAAGGGATTAATAAAACCACCATAGCAAGTATTCAACAATGTGCTTGCAAGACAGGAGCCACGCACCACAGTGATTGCTGCTGTTGGATTTTAAACTGGAGGGAGGACCATGCCTGCTTCACCTATGGACCCCCTCCCCCTGGCCCGGCCCACACCACTCCTTCCCGCCCCGTTCTGGACGGGGGAATCAGGGTATTCATTTGTGCTCATGCTCCCCACGGGGGCAGGGCTCCAGGGTGTTCTCCCAATGTGTCCCACGAGTTGGGTGCTGGATATGATCTCGGCCCATTCAGGTCCACGGCAGATACCAGAGGCCGCATGCACCCTGATTGAGCTGGATCCTCACACATCCCACCCCATACTCTCCAGCTCCACTTACCTGTCAGCGCTGAGAATGGGGCTGCTGGTGGAGAGAGGGCTGGGGGAGGCAAAGGAGCTGCCCAGGGTCCCGTTCCTCAGCGGTGTCTCATGGCTGTAGGCCTGGGCAGCGGGAGCACTAAAGCTCTTGGCTCCAGGGTCCTGAGTTCGGGGCCCTGCTACTGCTGTCCGCACCACCGACTCAACATAGCTCCGGGGTTCTGGAAGGAGCAGGGGGCAGAGATGGAGCTCAGATCCACGGGATGCAGGATGGCCCCCACCCACCCTGCCAGACTCCACTGTCTCCAGCCTGTGGAGACAGTCCCAAAAGGACAGCCAAGTGGGCCCTGCCCATGCCTGCCAGCATCTGGGGGAGCTATGAGTGCCCCCTACTCAGCCTGTAGCTATGGCTTCACTCAGAGAAGCCTCCAGAAATGAACCCCAGCTCTGCCTCTGAACAAGGACATCACAGAATCCTCCTTCAGAGCTAGGGCGCCCGTCCAGAGACAACGTTCCTTTCCCTGCTTTTCTCTGACCACCCTGCTACTCCACCACCAGGTCCTCCTGGGTAGCTGTGGAGTCTGGGGTCTTCGTGGACCCTGAGGGCCAGCCCCAGTCTGCCTGTGTCTCAGGACAGCAGCAGGGTGCACACGTCCCCCTCTCCCCTCACACCCAGCAACAGGCCTGTCCTGGTGAGTCACACGGGCCCCTCCATGCCAAGACCCACTCTCCCACCTTGCCGGACACACTCAGCATTCCTCCCATGGCTGACATCTGCAGGTTGGGAGCTCAGAAGAGCCCCAGGAGAGAGGAGGGGCTCAGCCACAGTGGGAACCAGGTCTCCTGCCTCCCAGTCCATCCTGTGCAGCTTCTCCCACGGCCTCGGCAGCTGCCCAGCCCTGTGACCCAACATGAGTCAGGAAGAAGCAGAAGGGCATCTGGGCTTCTCCAGGGACACGGTCAGGGATGGGCCACATCCCTGCCACCTCTAAGCCTGGCACCATCCCTGTCTTCCCAGGAGACACTCTGTCCACAATTAGGGCATCCTCTGAAACCAGCCTGAGAAGTTGAAGAACCAGCCCTGGGGAGGTCAGGCCCCCAGAGCCTTTGCTGGCCAGGCCAGTGCTGGTCACTGAGGCTCCTCAGCCCCAAAAAAAACCTTACTTTGGAAGGAGCCTCACGTCACCAGGGCTGTTCCAGGCTGCTATGGGCCCTCATTGCAAAGCATGGCCTCCTGAGCACCCAGGCCCAGAGGCCTCTGGACACAGGAAGAGGATGATCCCTCAGAACAGGGCCCTTCTCAGTGGGGGCTGGGTGCAAACAATTACAACAGTGGCTCCCAGTTTGCCTTCTGGTTTCCAGAGAGTTCCCTCCAACCAATGCAGTGAGGGTGGGCGGGGGTGGGGCAGGATGCCAGCAAAGGGACAGCCTGGGCCTGCCTGAACTGCAGGGGGCTGGCTATGCCCCAGGTAGCAGGTGCCAGGGATGTAGCACCAGCCACCTGAACTCCCAAAGCGGGAGACCATTTAGGCAGCCAGGAAAGCCTCTTCTAAAAACCCCCAATAAGCCCAGGCCCCCGCCCACCTCACAGCAGCCCCAAGCCATGCTGTCTCCAAAAGCAGGGACTCTTTTCCCTCTGTCTGAGGCCCTGCTGGAGCAAGGACATGCCGCTGAGAGCCTCTGACCCAGGGCAGGCACACTTCTTTTCAGTAAAGAATATGACAGCAAGTGTCCCAGGCTTGGGGGTCAGAGGGTCACTGACATAACTATCAGTGCTGTTATTTTGCAAAAGCCACCCTGGGTCATACATAAATGAAAGAGCCTGACTGCATTACAATAAAACTTGCTTTTACGAGAGCAGGCTGCAGCCCGGACTTGGGCACAGTGTGCAGACCCCCTGATCTAACCCATCTCCCCAGCCCAGAGAGGTGCAGCCATCTTCCCAGAACACACAGCAATTGGTGGCAGAGGATACCAGCAGCACAGTCACCTGATTCACAGAACTGGGTAGCCTAGAGAGGAGCGTCAGCCTCTCAGGATACCCAGAGCTGGGGGCTACCCAAACTCCCACCCAACAGCCAGAGAAGTAAAACTCCACAACACTAAAAATAACCCAATTAAATGGGGAAAGCAGGATTTGGAGAATGTTAAGTCCTTGCTCTTGCACACCACAGCAAGTGGCAGCCAGGAGAGGACCCAGGTGGGCCATCCCAGAACCTGCTCTCCTGCCACTGCACCTACAGCCAGCTGGAAGTTGGGGAGCTGGTAATTTCAGTGTGTCTTTAGATGTGGAGGGCCAGCTCTGTGCCCAGGATAACCCAGTTTGGCAGAAGGACCATCAGAAGGGACTTACACCCACAAAATTGGTAATGGGGTGTCAAGGCCAGCACCCACCCTCCCACCCTTGATTGTGTTGGGTCACACTCTCTGAAAACTCCCTGGGGACCCAAGTGCTCAGCACCCTTTCTCTCCCCTCCCCCCCCCACCAGAGATGGCAGGAGAACCCATCTTCCCCCAGTCACCCCTCAGCATCCTGCACCTGGCACGGGGTAAGCCCCTGGGATGTGCTTGTCCTGAAATCTAGTGAATGTGTGACCTTTACCCTCCAGCCCCATCCAGACATGGCAGCATCCTAACTAAGCCCGGAGAGGCGCACATTCATTTTCCCCATTTCCAGAGTCCTGGCTGGCTCCCAAAGTTCAAGTTAAATCCCACATGGGCATCTTGTCCCACCCGGTGGCCTCCTGTGCACTCTCAGCCTGTTCTACATTCCTGGAGGAGGCTTTGACCCCTGCACCACCCAGCCCCCTGCCCTAGGGCTCTGAAAGGCTTTGGCCCTATTAGGATGAAGTGGCAGGAGACGGGAGGGAGGAAGGAAGGAGAGAAGGTCAAGGTGCCAGTGGCTGCATCTCTCTACTCAAGACCATCGCCCCAGCCCAGGGCCCTCCCCTCCAGCTCTCTCCTGGTTCTTTCTGGTTCCCCCTCCCGCTAGGAAGCTCCCAGGTGTGCCTCACCAACTCTTGCATCTCAGACCTTTTGCCAGACATTGGCCTAGTCCATTACACTCTCCTGGGATGCCCCTCACCCCCGAGAATGACGCCAGGACACTGACCCATACACTGAGCCCATGACTCATACTACCCTGCACCCCACCCAGCAAGAACGTACACGGACCCTGTCTACCAGCCCTGACACCCAGACAAGGTGGTCACACCATCCTGCCCCAGGGTCGGACAGCGCCAAGCCTGGGACCACAGGTGCTGCCTCCCACCCGGCCTGCTGGTCATAAACAAGGCTGACCCCCCCACTAACTGCTCCGGCCTGAAGATTCCTCAGCTTGCTCTCTCCTCCCCACTGCAGGACAACACAGAACTCAGGGCTTCCCCTTTGACTTACTGGAGGGATCACTGAATCTTTTTGGGCTCCATACCCACCTGCCCAGCCAGGATCAAAAGAAATGGGCAAGTTCCTTCTAATTCTTTCTCGCCAGTTCCAGGGCTCACATGCAGTCCCTGCGTTGCCGCCTGCGCCCCAGCCATGCCTGCTCCTGCTCCTTCCACCCTTGCCCCCACTCCCTCTCCTGCTGTTTTCCTCTCTCCTCCAATCCTGGGGCAGCTACACCCAATGGGAGTTGGGAAGGGCAGGAGAGGTGGGGCCGGGGAGGGTGCTTCATGTAGAACATTCCAGGAGCCCAAACCCATTCCAAGTGGCTGCTGGCATCTGAGAGCAGCTGGAAGCACAAGAGGAAGGTGGCCCCACCAGGCACCAGGCATGGCCAGCAATTTCTCCACCCCTGAAGTGCATTTCCTGCCTCCCAGAAAAAGGATTTTTGCCTGGATAGAAGGGGTCCACCGATCCCAAGTGAAATGAAGACATGGGCATGGGGGAGAGAGAGAAGTAAAGCGACCCAGGGTCCCAGATCCAGAGGCCTCAAAGTTAGAATGTACCTTTGCTGGTATGCGCGGCATGAGCATACACTGTTGAGGTATGAACCTGTACTTTAAAACTTACACAGCATTGTAAACCAATGTTATCTCAAATAAATCAACAAGCAGACAGATAAGCTAACAAAAAGATAAATAAAATTTAAGTAACCCCCCCAAAAAAAGCTAAAATATCAAACTTTTGATTGGATCACAAAGTCCTCCCATGACTTCCTGCTCACATCCTTGCTCAGCACTTCTACCTTATTCTGAAATCTCCACTGGCATCTCCTCATCCAGCTGTCCCATACATCTTTACACACTCAGTGCCCAGCACAGGGCCTGCCTCACAGTACATGCTTCATATATTTGCATTGTACAGCACTGTCCTAAAATCCCAGAGGCCACAGCATACCCAACACCAAGCACCTCAGAGCAAGCAGACCCCTAGATGGGCTACTTCTAATTCACTGTCTTAATTTATGTATAATTTGTCCTTCCCTAGTCACCTGGACAAACACAACCCAGCCTCAGTATTCCCTGTTCCCGTTGCTCCAGTAAGAAGCCCTAATAATTTCTTTCTCTGTTTCACCACGGGAAGACATCCTGATGTTAACCTCACGTCTTACTGCTGTCCGTTTTCATGTTCTCCTTCCTTCATGGAGAAGAGTATCCAGGCCCCACACTCCGTAAAGTGACTGCTTATATGGAAAAGGAAAAACCTCTACATGCTAACCAGCACAGGCTCAGCCATGTCCCACTGACCAAAAGTCGTTTACCCTCCTTAAACATCACTGGTAAACGAGGTTCCTACAACCGCCCTCCCAGGTCTTCTGTGATCATTAAACAAGAAGCTACAGCAATGACCCCACATGGCCCCGCCCCTGCCTGTTTAACCTCACTCTACCTCACACCCTCCTGCTCTAGTCTCCAGATCTCCTTGCTCTCAGCTTCGCTGACTGTGCAATCCTTGAAACAACATGCTGTTCCCTGCCACCCCAGGGCCTTTGCACATGCCCCTTTCCTCCACATGGAACACTGTGCTGCCAACCCCATCCACCAAGTTAATGTCATTCACCCTCACATCTCACTTTTCAGTCAAGGTCAGGTTCTTTGCCATAAGACCTCATGAAGCTGTGTATCCCTTCTCTTCAGAATACTTATTTCCACCTGCAGCTTGGAGTGATCATTTAACTCTGGCTCTTGTTCATTCATATGCTCCATGAGATTAGGAACCGTCTTTTACATTACTTGTCATTCTACCCGCAGAGCCTGGCACAGTGCCTGGCACAAAAGTATTTATTGAACAAATGTATCAATGAAGGAATGGCTGAATCCCAAGCAGTGCCTTGAACAAGCAGACATCTCTGAAAGATTCCTTTTCCCCTAGCTGAACAATTCTGCCTCGGGTCATTTTTCTACCCAGGCATTTTTTCCTGAATTTCCCATCAAGGTATCAGCAGGGAAATCAAGCAGGATTTCAGAGGGTCCGAAAAGAATGTGCTTTAGTCCAGCCTGGGAAGGAGGTGGTACAAGAGTCAGGGAAAGTGGCCCTGGCTACCCACAGCCTTGCTCCCTGACCCTCGCCTGCCCGGCTCCTCAGACCAAGGGAGCAATTCCAAACCCCACGCTGGAATCCCAGGGCACCGTGCCTGGAGGCAGGAGGAGGGCTCTGAGATGACCACGTGACCAGGAGACAGAAGACCAGCAAGTCTAGTCTTGGCCTGCTGCCTCCTGTGACCTAGGGCAGACACACCCACCCCTACTCCACAACATGGCCCCCAGCCCCACATATGTGAAAATGATGGGAGTAGATGAGCTGATTTTGAAGAACCTTCCCCTCCAAACTCTGGGGACTTGGGACAGAAGGAGGGTGGGAGGACTCAGAGTCTGGCAGGAGGGCCATCCGTGAGGTGCAATAGGCAGATCTCACTTTAGTTCTGTCCAAAAATGCTCCCCAAAAGTGGAAAATGCTATAGCAAGAGCCTGTGGGATAATCTACGCCTCAGCTCACCCACTGGAATATCTGAGATTCCACTAGGCTGCTGAAGTCGGCCACTACCAGGAGGGCTGAGAGCCAAGTGCACGGGCCGCACCTGAAGCCATGAGCATGAGCTCCTGCCCTGCCGGGAACTGGCCGTCAGCCTGCAGCCTGGAGATGAGGCTGCGGAGCTGCAGCAGCCAGACACGGGCTGCAGTTCATCCAGTTCTGGGGTTTGTTGTTGGGGCTGCCTCCCTCTGTAACCCCCAGGCAGCCTGCAGCTATCGCCCAGACCCTACTGGCCAGAAGTGGGCCAAGCCTCACAGGAAGCGCTAGCTTCAACCTGAGCAATGGCGGCTTCAGAGAGCACAGGTCAGGCCTGTGAACGCAAAGGAAAGTAGGAAGGAGGACTAAGAAAATCAGACAGTCTGTAAGGAACAAAGGCCCAGGTAGGAAAGGCAGGACAGCTAGCAGCTCAGAGCTGGAAGCGGCCTTGGTGCTCAACTGGCCCAGACCCACACCCGATGCCCAGAACCACACACAGACACCCTTGTCCTTTCACTGTCACTCTGAGCCACCACTTGAACTCTCCTCCTAATGAGTCGAAGGCCTTCAACCAGAGCTCATCCCTCTCTGCTTCTCCATTAATGCTTCTCATTTAATGTGTGGAGCGCATCTAAATCAGGAGGTCAGCTGGGACACACACACATTCACTCCTTGATTATGTGCATGGTGTCGTGATGCATTTGTGTGGGGCTGGATCTGAGCTTTTCTGAAATCTCCAAAGGCACGTGAGATCCCTGGAAGATAGACTTGCACTGTGTGTGATGTGCAAGAGGGCAACGCGTGTCTCAGAGAGTAGTTCTGACCCCAGGCGATTCTCCCCCAGAGACATTTGTGATGTTGAAGACACGTCTGGCCCTCACATCCAGGCAGGTACTACCGGCAGGTAGTAGACAAAGGCCAGGGATGAACGAGGCAGCTCCACGACAAAGACATATTCCACCCAAGATAGCAGTAGCGCCGAGGCTGCCCTGAGCGAACCCTTGGAGCCGCCCCAGGAAATGGACCGACGAGCCCCCTCCCTGCATGTGAGCCCCCTAGTCCTCTAAAGGGGCTCACTGTACCCCCAGGCAGGCTGGAGGAAGGGCTGCTGAAGGGAGGAAAGGGCAGGAGGAGCATTTTGTCAACAAGGCGGCATCACCTGTGTCACCTGGTTACTGGTGGCATCTAGACACGAAGTACCTGACCCGCCTCCAGCAGCTGAGGGCCTTGGGTCAGGACTCAGGCAGTGCCAGGGAGGAACCCAGAAGCTACATCCCTGATCACCTGAGACCCAGTGAGAGCTGCCCCCGAGCCAGCCAACCCAAGCTCCATGTGAAAAGCCCCCCAGCCCCAGACAGCAGAAGGAGCCACATGGCAAAGCCACACTTACCTTCCAAGCACTCCATTACCACCTTCCCCTCATCCTCCTCTGAGGACAGACGAGAAGAGAGGTGGGGAGAAAGGAGAGGCAGGAAAGAGAGGCAGGTAAGGAAGAGCAAAAAGGAGAGAGAAAGACTGATTAACAGAAATAATCAACAGGAAGAAATTTGCTGAGAAGAAGGAGCTGAGAAAGCTGGGTGTGGCCCAGCCAGAGATGATTTTCCAGAGGAGCCCTGGAGGGAGTGGTCCATCCCAGACAGGGCCCTGGGGCTCCAGGAAAGGCCGAGTGAGGCAGAAAGACGCCAGGGAGCAGAGTTCGAGACCTCATTCTCAAGAGCAGCAGTGCCCACACGCAGGGCTCCCAGTGGGCCCTCACAGCCCCTGCGCCAGGCCTTGCTCAGTCACATCTCAAGCAGAAGTGTGCTGGCCTGGCAAGAGGCAGGTGCAACCCCTCTTCTCCCCGGTGACTCAGTGGCCCTGGCCATGCAGACACATCCTGAGTGGGAGGCTGTGCCCGGCCGTGTCTGTGGGTCACACACCATGCATGTGCCCTCCTACCTGGCAGGATCAGTCTTCTGGTAACTAAGAAAGAGAAGCAACGTTGGCCAGTAGCCTAATCCCAGGCCTGAAACCCTCTAGGGAGTGTCTAGGCTCTGTCTACTTGAAATGGCCACTAAGGGCCCAGGGCTCCTACTCTCTCCTTCCACACAAGGAGGAGGTGGGAAGTAGGACAAGAAGTGTGGGAAGGGGCATGTCTCTGCATGTGCTGTGTGTGCACGTATGTGTCTGCATGTGAGTGTGTGCATATGTGTCTATATGCGGGGTGGGTACACGCAGTGTATCTGCATGTGTTCGTGAGTGTGTGTTTCCACATGTGTGCGCACATGGACACAAGTGCTTGAACACAGAGGATTTGGCCGCCAGGTTTCTAACCGAGCTGACCACCTCCAAAGACACAGGCTAGAATGCCAAATCCCCAAGTCAGAGGACACTGGGAGTGGCCTGGACCTCAGAAGTCCATGGGAAGGCTGCAAAGGGATCTGAGCCCCTCAAGCTCTGCAGAGAGCTCCCACTCAGGCCTGGCCTCAGTGTGGGCACATAGCCAAGCTGCCCACCTCATTTCTCGGGAGTCCCCAGAACACGCCACCTTTTTTTGATCCAATCCTAAGGCCTTGCCCAGGACCACAGGCCCCCTCTTTTCCCTCTGGCCTCCCCACCACCTCCTTGCCAACCATGGTCTCTTACCGCCCGTGGGGTGCAATAGGATGTCCGCAGGGTTGTGGGGTTTCAGGCCCAGAGCAGACAGGGGCGTCTTGGCCAGACCTGGAGGGGAGCGCACTGTGCCAGAAAGAAAAGGGAAATACTGGGAGTGAGCCTAGGGTGGGGAAGCTGCAGGGAAGGAGGGGCAAAAAGGAGGGCACCCCATAAGTGAGAGGTGGGCAGGAAGTTGGTGGAGGGGAGCCAGCCCTGCCCCAGAGGGGTGCAGTGTTGGCTCCAAGGCCTTCCTCTTTGTGTGCTCCTCCACAGTACAGCATTTAAATGCTAAAGGGAGTCGGCAACAGTGCCTTGTCCTGGCCCTGGCCGTCTGCCTGGGGAAAGGAGCTTCCATCCCTAGGCCCTAAGTTTCTTCACTTCATATTGCATGCAGTTGTCTTTAGCTACCTCTGACTTTCTCTAGACTGGGCCCTCTTTCTTCCTCCTTTTTAGCCCCCCGCTCCCTCCTACCCACACATTCTCATTTTCAAACCATGCACCAAGATGGTCTTAGGAAGAACAAAGGAATACGGGGTGTCAGGACAGCACATGCTATGAAAGACAGTGGGAGGGGAAGATCATGACGGGACCCATGGGCCAATCTGAGACCCCACAGTGGCCCACGCCAAAGGTCATCAGTCCCCAGTCAAGTATGTCCCTTGCAAGTCCCAGAAAAAGAGAATTTCCCAGTGTGGGGTTCTCAGTATCCCCTCAACCTCAGTGCTCCAGATTGGGAAAAGCCCAGTCACCACAATCTATGGCCAAGAGCACCAACTCCCAGACCTCTGAGCCACCCGCCTGGTAGTGTCATGTCTGGGAGTGACACACCTGGGAGTGTCATGTAACACACAAGGTCAGAAAGGACTGTCAGGCTTTTTCCCAGCAGCCAAGGACGTGACCAGATGCCCAGCATATCTGCAAGCTGGTAGTTCTGCCCAGTCACGAGATTTCTCAGTGGCAGCTGCCACATCTCCTAACACACCTCCCAAAAGTAGAGAAATGAGCTGTCTCCTGTGACAGCTCTCAGGAGACTGCAGAGGCACAGCCCCTGAGGACACGTGACCACAGGGATCAGTCAGTGCCAAGGCTGCCTGCTTCACGTCTGTGGTCACAACACACTGAGTGGCCTCAGATGCCCAGGACCCACACAGCAGCTCTGGACCCTGCCTGGTCAGCCCTCCTTTTTCCAAAAGACAGTGAGAACTACAGGAAAGTGACAAAAATATACAACCTCTCAAAGCGAGCAGCACATATACTTGCTGGACACATGCAGGTGTGCACCCAGGTGTAGTGAGACCAGAGCCCTCACAGGTGCCAGACGGGTGGCCCACCCTTGCACTCCAACCCCGACTCCATCCTGAGATGCCCAACAGACAGATACAGCAGAGGGGACGGAGTGTATAAACACACACATCCAGATACTGGTGGCCGCCTCGGCTTGCCTGTCCGTCCCCCTCTCTGCACACACACACACACACGCCAACACACACACACACACCACATCGTGCAACAGACACATATCAAGCACTTATTTACTTATTTGTCACACAGATATATCTGAACGTAGCTGAAGAAGGATGAGCCTGAGCCCACTGGGGATAGAATCCACACAGCACCTCAGCCACAGCGTTGGTCTGCCTGGCAGGGGCAGCAGAGCACGGGGGGCCACAGAGAGAAGGGGACAGGAGCACTGGGAGGCTCCTCCTGGTCCCTCACTCACTCACCCCCAGCTCCCTGACCACACATGCCCCCCACACACCACCACCTCCCCGTTCCCCAGGCATCTGGCCCTTCAGCTGAAGAGTGGGTGGCCCTGAAGCCAGACAAGGCTCTTGCTTCCTGAGAAGAATTCCTTGCATTTCTCTGCCTCTGTCCTCTCCCAACCCCGTGCCGTGAGTTGATGAGACCTCTGACTTACTCTCCCTGGGCACCAGGGCCGGCCAAGGGCATGGAGGGAAGAATGAGGACAGGCACGCGAGGCCAAACCCCACTGCAGCTCAGTCCAGATGACTCATTCCAAACAGGACACTGGCCAAGATTCTGGCTGTTTGGACCAACAGCAAAGGGAACAGGTGTGAAGGTGGAGGGTTTCGACCGAGGACACGAGTCCGTGAGTCTCTAAGGCTCATGTGCCGTCTCAAGCAGACTCCTGGGTTTGCACTGCCCAATATGGCAGCTGCCAGCACACAAGGCCGTGAGCACCTGTGGTGTGGCCAGTGCGAGCCAAGGCAGGTGTCCGTGGAAAACATCCCGCATGTCAAAGACTTAGTATGAAACAAGAGAGCAAGCGATCTCACTATTATACGGATGACACATTAAAATGGTGATATTTTAGATCTCTGAGACCAAATAAAACTCACTAAAATTTGTTTCAACAGCCTCTTCTTACATTTTTTTTTAAAAAGACTGTAAGATAGTTCATCTATTGCCTTGACTTGTTTATTGAAATAACAGTTTGCGTATTTTGGATTGAAGAAAAAAGACCACTAAAGCTAATTTCTCCAAGTTCCTGTTGTTTTGCAATTTTTTTTAACCTACCAGAGAAGTCTAAATCACAGCAGTGGCTCGTATTACATTTCCACTGGACAGCGCTGCTTTGGAGAGAGCGTGACCTCCACTCACACTCGGACCTCCCGCGTGCCCCCAACTTCCGCTGGCACAGGGGCAGGTGCAGGTGCCACATTCCTCCTGTCCACAGGACAGCCCGCCACCTGGGTGCCTTGGCCGGCCCCAGCTCTTCTGTCCTCATCCTCTCCCTCCCCTTCTCTCTCAGGAGCAGAAGACAGCATGGGCCTGGGCAGCCACTGATCCCAGAGCATCTCCAGCCTCTCCCTCTGCTGGCCTGGGCTCTCACGGGCCCGAGCCCTTCAGAGTCCAGCAATGTGCAGCACTGCCCCCCCCAACTACCGCCACCCCTAGGTCCTCTTCAAGTCTCTTCCAGCGGGGGACACTGCCCCTCTCATGGGCTCCTGGGCTCAAGTCTTCTCTCCCCTTCCAGGCAGGGGGTGGAGGGAGGGTTACTGACTAAATGCTCCTTGGGGACCTTTTTTACCTGGGTGGAACTAAACAGCCTGCCTGAAAAGGAAGAGGTACCTAGGGTGGCAGAAATGGGGGTCACACACAAGAAGGTCCAGGGCTGTCTCAGAGACACACCAGCAAGTCAGAGTCACTTTGGCTGGGGATGATCTGCATGTAGGGTACGGAGATTCTCAACCAGGAGAACTCCACACAGTAGGAGCCCAGGGACCCCCAGCCCATCAGGTGGATTCTGCACCCTTAGGTGTGGGCATGTGGGCAGTGGAAAAGAGGAGATGCCCTGGGGGAGAGAAGGGGGCATGAAATGAGCCACAAGGATAAGGAGCAGATTCTGGCCCCCATCAACTTTGCCAGCGCCTCCTCCCCCCAACCTGGGATGCTTATCCAGCTACCGTTGAGAGAAAGGGCTTGAGGGGGGTTGGGGGGGCAGACTTAGGGGTTAGTTCTTACCCCCAGTGGGTGGCGGGCTGGTCGGGGAGGTCCCCTCCATCTCCTCGAAGGCCTCCTTGTAGCTGTGCAGATGGGGCTGTAGGAGGAAAACCGGCAGCAAAATGGAGAGACTCACTGGAAAGTAGGGTTCCCAGCAGACTAACCCATACAGCCCTCACCAGCCTGGCCATCCACCCCATCTCAGATAACACAGACCTGGCTGTTCACAGCCCCAACAACTCCTGATAGCTGAGAGTAGGGAAAGGCTATTTGCAAGGCTATAGTCCAGCAAGGACAGGATTAAGAGCACCTGCCCTGAAAATACTTCAGGGCCAGCAAGAATGGGCTGGGGGTAGAGGACTCAGGTTCTATCAGAGGCAGGAGAGAAATGTTGTCCAAAAACCACTGCTGCCCAGAATGCCTCACTGGCCTGCATTTTGTTGGACAGGGTCACCTGCCTCAGAATCTTACAGGGCGCATTTTCAAAATGCAGGGCCCCGGGTCCCATCCCAGAGCCAACACTCTGGGATCTCTGGAGGTGGAGGTGGGAGTCGAACATTTTGAACAAACTGCCTGGTGATAGTTATGCTTACAGAAGTTTAAGACCTATTACCTCAAACCATGGAAATGTCTGTATTTGGGCAAACATTTGTGCATTGAAATCAGATCTCAAAAAAAAAAAAAAAAAAAAAAACTCTTTATCCCGAAAGTCCTCAAAATCACTTTTGTCAGTGTGTATGATCAGTCTGCAGTTTTAGAGACTGTGGCCACCTAAGGCAGACCCAGGACCTTATCTCCCTAATGGACTCTCTAGGGGTCGGTCAAGAAGGAACTTTGTCTTAATGTAAGAAGAGGGTGCATAAAAGCTATTTCGAGAAGGAAATGGGCTCCAGATTCCACCCACCAGAGAAGAGATGGAAGGAGAGGGTGCAGCAAGGAAAAATTACTGAGGTCACTGCCAGTTCAGGGTCAGCAGGTGACCATCAGTTTCCTGGAGGGTTCAGGCGGGCTCGAGACCCCCCATGCCCCAGACGCAGCCCATGCGCAGATGCACTCACCTCCTTGGGGCGCCCTCCAGGATTGAGAGCAATGGTGAGAGCAAGCTCTGGGGAGACGCACTGGACAGGGGAGCGCATCCCAGGGCTCCGGGGAGATGTGGGTTCTGGAGACTGGTTCTCATACTGTCCATCGCTGGCTGCCCGCTTCCGGAGAGGGGCCGTGGGCTCTGCAGGCTTCTCACGAGCCTGCACCCCTGGGAGGAATGGCAGGGCAAAGAGGACCATGAGCATACTGGGCACAAGTGCCCCAGAGGGGGTGGTGCGTCTCAGCCCAGGGGCCAAGCTGCAGCTGGGCCTGTCTCCCCAAGACACCCCACACTGGGTCCCTCTCTGCCCATACCCCAGGCTCTTCTGCTGGGTGGAGCCACCTAGGTGGGGCTGGCCTTGGGTCTACTCAGCACAGAGTTGGGGCCCAGAGCACAAAGGACTGATACAAGAAACAGATGTCAACTCCTTCCAAGCCCTGGAGGCAGAGGGCCAGGGCTTCCAGGCAAACGAGGGAAGGTAGAGGGTGGAGAGACAGTCTCCAAGGCGACTACATCAACCAACAAGCAACATCAGGCCTTGGGGGAGAACTTTGGAAAAAGCAAATAATGCATCATCTTGCAAGTGGTGCTCCCGAGCAGAAACAAAGAAATAACTAAGTCTTGCTCGGCACTCCCCAACCCCAGCGGGCCCCCAGAATATAGCTGCCCTTCTCTGGGGTTCCTCAGGTCCTATCCAGGGCACCTCTGAAGCCTCTTACCAACGTCCCTCTTAAAATTGTCAACTTTCTCTTAACATTTTCTTGCCTCAAACATGGCCCAGGGCCCCACCCGGCCCCTCCCAGCAGAGCAGCAGGCAAAAAGCCTGAAGTCATGGGCGCCATCTGCTTTTCCGTCCCTCCTTTCCATTCCACGGGCTGAGGATGCTGCTAACCTCACCCTCCTTCCTTCCCACTCCCTTTTCCCACAGCTGGGCTGGGGCACAGAATGCATTGCCTCGCCGAGCCGGCTCCAGAATCCTAGAAAACGCTTTCCCCCACTCCAGAGGTCAAGTCCCAGTCTGAGGCTGGGCTCCTCCACCAGCTCGAAGGGAGGAGAGACTCACCCCGTCTTCACCACCACCCGAGGGCAGCTAGGGTGAGGGGAGAGGCTGGGACCTACCTAGAGAGGCAGGACCACCAGCCGCACAGCATCACATCTGAGGACCCCATCCCATGACACACGTGCACACACATGCACGCCCGTGCACACACACGCACTGCTGGTCCCTGGGAACGTGCCAGAGCCGCTCCAAAGTCACCTTCATTCAGACTGAATCATCGTCTACCCTCCATGGTGGGCTCTGCATCCTCTGGGCACCACCGGCTATCTCCTGGCTCGGCCACTCAGGCTGCCATGAGAAGCAGATGCTAGGAAGGCTTCTTGCTCACAAACAGTGGGCTGGCAGCTGCCAAGTCCAGGGCTGGACACACACTCATGCTCACACAGCTAGCTCTCTTCTCCCCCATAATTCGGGGCCCGTCTGCAGAGCAGCAGGACGGGAAGGCACAGACGAATGCAGGAGGAGGTGGACTGAGTCTCTAGCAGGAGCTAATTGTAATTCACAGGCGGCCTGCCTGCCTTCTCAACCAAGAGAATAAAGCCAGGCCGGGACAGTGAGCTGGACTCACAAACTGCTTTACTTAAACCGAGGAAGCGCCTCACCTTGAAGGGCCCTTATTTTCCAAACAGAAAAGAGGGTGGCAGAGTCCTAACCAGAGGCTGCTGCCATGAGCACTCACCCCATGGAAGCTGGGGCTCAGCTCTGAAAATATATTATCTTGAAGGATTGGGCTAACACTGGACCCCACAGCGATGCTGGGTTCCCAGCCTTAGACAAAAGGCCTGCACCCCCTTGACACCTGTGGGTGCCCCTGCCCCGGGCCACACTGTCCCACCACCATCGAGCGCCCTCCCCCCAGACTGTGGACAGCTTAGTCCAGAGCTACCATGGGTTTCGTTCCTGGCAAAGACATTGGAGAGACAGACACAGCCATTGATTTTCTAATAATAATCGTGACAAAGAAGGCCCATTCAGGAAAGGCTCTTGGGGGTTGGAACTAAGTTCAGCTCCAAGGTTAAAAGAAATGCATTAGGGCTGGTCTCAGTTCTGGTTCGCCCACCCTTTCTGGCAGATTCTTGTGCCTTTGCAAGGGGGCTGGTTTCCCCATTTGGGGATTTGATGTTTGCTTTTGAAAAGTGGGTGTTTTCAATTCAAGGGCATGAGTCTCCCAGAGGGGCAGTGAAGACCCTCCACGTCCAGGTGTCCAGAGAAAAGGCTGGACTGCTGGAGGGACTTCCCAAAAACTCAGGCCTCAGCACACAGCGGTCAGACAGCCATCACACGCCCCCTCCACCACCACCACCATGTAGGAGGACACTCTGGCCCAGGGCAGGGGAGGGACAGAGTGACCCCCGAAGAGCTAAGGCGCTGCAGAGCAGAGGGGGACAACCCCACATTCCACTCCCATGGGGACAACGCCCCCTGCAGAGCACCCCACTACACCAATGGCCAGCCAGGGCCTGTCACATTCCTTGAACAGTGTCTCACTGTTGTCCCCCTTGGCAGGCCTAGATCTGCCCTGGAGTGCCTGGAGAGCCATGTTCTCGCTCTTGTCTTTCTCTATGGGAGGGAGCCGGGGCAAAGCAGAGGGGAGAGAAGAGAGCCCCATTGTTAACGGGCCAAGTTGGGACGTCTGGACACAAGCTGATAGTGTCAGAGAGAGATACCCCTCCCTCATGTCCCAGAGATGGGCCCACAATAAAAACAGGCTTGCCCCCCCTGCCCCCGCCCATCTCCCCTTCTCCACCCTCAACCCTAGGGCTTTCTCAGGCCCCACACTCTCTCGGGAGCACACTGAGTGTCCTGCTCCCTAAATGTGGGCAAGCGTGCGTGCACACACACAGACACACACAGCCTTAATCCATCAGGAAGGGTGGTTCAGAGTTGCCCCCGAGCCCCTACAGTCACCCCTATTCCCGCAGGAAGAAGCTCATGAAGGAGAAGGCAGCCGAGGGACTCTGGAAGGTCGTCCAGCAAAGCTGGTGAGTACAGGCTTCCAGGCCCAGTAGAATGAGGAGAGGGAGGAGGCCATTATGGCAAGAAAATGACCTTTAAGGTGAGTAACGCACTACATTCAGAAGCCCTGTGGCCCTGAGCTTCCCCACCAGAGGAGGGCAGTCCCCTCAGCCAGGGCCCCCACACGGGCCACGAGACCTGAAGAGCAGGGACTGGCACAGTCCCATTCCTGAGGGTCCTCACTCCATATCCCAGGATGGCGCTGTGCTTGGGGGAACAGCTGGTGCCAAGGCTCCCCTAAAGTGGGCTGGGTCTGAAGCAATGAATCCTGCTCCCCTTCCCCACACACACACACACACACACACACACACACACACACACACACCCCTATAGCCCCAACACACATCAATACATATACTTCATCACAACATGGCTGTCCATGGGTCCTGGGTCCCCAGGATAGTTGTCTTGGTGTCCAGTTTCACCACATGCCACCCCTATACCCGCCAGACTAGCTGCTTCCACCCCCACAGACCCAGCTCTTCTTTCCAGCCTTCCGATTTCCAAAAGACTGGATTCCTCAGCTCCAGGTGGCAGGGCTGGGTGTCCGACAGCATGCCTGGGGCTCCGTTAGCCAGGGGATCCGGGAGGCCACCTGCTGGGCCAGGGCACCAGAAAGCCACGCGGCAATCACACTAGCAGCCCTAGGACAAGCCATGCCAGCTCCCCTCAGGGACAGGCCCAGCACCCAGAACTGCCCACACCCCTAGGCCCTGCCAAACACTGCACTCCACACCACTGGGCCAAGGAAAGGGTAGAGGGAGACGAGGGGAGGTGGGTGGGGGCATTCATGGACCAGGGCCAGATATGGCCCTGGGAGTCCACAGCTCCCATCACCCCTAGGCCTGTTCCCCAACGGCTCAAGGCCAGGTGGGCAAGCCTGAGTATAAGTCTTCTTCCAGAGCAAGGCCTCCCCCAAGGGGCTAGGCACGAGAGGTGAGTCCCTCCCCAGGGAAAGAGCCTAAGGTCCTACTGGGGGTAGACATGAGTCCTCCATCACAGCAACATGCGCTTCGGTGACAGAAGGGTCCACCCCACTGGGGCATGTCAAGCCACCAAATATTCAAGGCAGGGTCCAGCCCCTCCATTTTTCAGATTGGGAAACTGAGCTGAGTATTGTGAGACTTGTCACGGAGGTGGGCAGAGCCAGCACCATTCCCAGGACTTCTGACCCTTGGCCTGGATCCTAGGATCAGGGATTTAGGATGCCGTCAGAGGCCTGCTGTCCCCCCAGAGTGCCGTACTCGAGAGTGGACAGAGCAGCAGGTGCTGGGGCACCGCTCTGCCTTCTGCCTAGGGGCCCATGCAAAGCACAGCCTGGCCCCTGCAGAGGCCCTGGGCCTGTGCCCTGGGTGGTCTGGCCAGAATGGCCAGGGAGCTGGGCTGTCCCAGGCCCCCACTGAGCACCCTTGCTGCAAAGGCCCACGTGTCCACAGGATGCCTGAAGGTTAGTCTAGTCACCCCACACCCTGTCCCTGCCGGTTAAGGCGCAGGCTAGAAGCATCAGCCCGTGCCCATGCGCTGAGGGGGAGCTCACTCATGCAGAGCGGAGGGAGAGGGTGTGGAGATGGCGAGGAGGGAGACGGGGCAAGAAGGGAGATGGAGGGCAGTGAGAAGAGGAGGAGAGGCATGGAGAATAAGGCAGAGATGGGATGAGCGACAGAAGGGGGCAGGGATGAAGAGGGAAGGGCGGGGGCTGGGCAAGGTTTGGAAGGAATGGCACGTGAAGGAGGCAGGGAAGAAACTAGGAGCTAAAATGAGGCCCAATGGGCTAACTAGGGGGCAGGGGAGGACAGGAACCAACCATGTGGCATGGTACACACGGACAGGGAGGAAGATCGGAGCCGGTGGAGAGGAGGGCGCCGGAAGCTCACTCTTTGCCTCATTGCCTGCAGCCTGGCATTGTACGCTGCCACCCCCACCCCAGGGGAGCCGGCAGGGAGGGAAGGCAAGCAGGCAGGGGAGGCCAGGCGGAGGGCAGGACACCAAGCAGGGAAGGCACCACGCCCACGCGGCAGGGACAGATGGACACGGGACACACGGATAAGCCAAGGGACGGGGCATTAAACAAGACGAAACAGAACAAAAACAA